ATATTTACTATATTAATAATCTAGCATTTAAATTATATTAAAAACTCAAGCTGAAGAAATGGAGGGAGGGGATTCTTCTTTGTTAATGCTACTGCTCTTGGATTCCTGATATTCTTCCCACAGTATGTTGACCTTTATTTAATCCTTCAGTCATTTTCTTGTGACTCTGTAAATGAGAGGGTTTTTTAGTTTTTTGGTGTTTTTTGTAACATACTGACAGGTATGTTAGATACGGATGTGTGCCTTAACTGTTAAAAATTAATTCTGCTGCATAACTTAGTTGCAGAAATCTCTTGTAATCTGTCCCAGATGTTGTGAGCCAGTTAAAAAAATGGAATTTATTCTGAGAAATATTTATGTGTGACAATGATAAAAGTAGTGAAGCATTTTATAAATGTACCTTGTTTGTACAGTAACTTAAATTTATTCCTGTGACTTGCAGGAAGAAGCTTCTCTGCCCAATTTGCTAGTTGTTTGTGGGGATCATGGGATGTCTGAAATGGGTAGTCATGGTGGTTCTTCAGAAGGAGAAGTGCATACACCACTGTTGTTTATCAGCTCTGCTTTTGAAAAGAGAAGTGGTAAGGATCAAAGAAGCTTGATTTTCTTTAGAACACACTGCCATCTCTAATTTACGTTAGCTCTCTGTAAAGTGCTTTAGTTTGACTACAGGTATCCATCGAGGCCCATTCTGCATGACCTAAAACTCTGGTTTTAGCCAGATTTTGCATCTGTGTCATGGTGACACCATGATGTAAGCTTTGTAACGAGTAAGAGAATTGAGTATTTCTCAGATGATAACCTTTTGCAGCACCATCCTGCTTGAGTGTTGAGAGCTAGTGAGATCTGTTGTCAGAATCCTGGGATACTGGTAAATGGATAGGTTTAGAAGTAAAAATCTTATTTGGAATGAGTTTTAAGTTTTGACTTTCTTGGCCAGAATATTTCCCTGGCCTCCATTCTTCCCTCTCAGACAGCCATAATAGTGGAATGAATGACAATTTCTCATGCTGACAGTAACAGGAAAGAGGAAGGATTGCTCTTGTGAAAGGGTGAGAGATGACAGCAGTGAAAACATGACTATTGATTGCTGAGTGTTAAGGAAAGAATATGGAGCATGAGTATATTTACTGTATTGGCCAGGCAGTTAACTTCCAGTAATTGATGTGAGTTTATCTGTTTCTGAAACTCATTTTCTGATTGTGTAACAAGTGTAAGGTAAGAGGCAAGAAGGGAATGGTGTGGTAGAGAATCTTCCATTTATTTTGTAGGGTCTTGCTGAAACTCCTTGCCTGAGTGAGTAGTGAAATGTAGTTATACCAGGAGTGAGTATTTTCTTCAAATAATACTTCCCTCTGCCTTTCATTCTGCCTCTAGCTCATTTCCACCTGATTTACTTGCTTTTAAAGCGTGTTTGCAGAACCTTGCCTTTTTTATCTTGCTCGAGGTTCCTGCAGCACAGTGGAAATATATTTGTCTGTCATTTATAAAGCTGTTACCCAGCTGCAATAGAAAGCATTGCTTGGGGAGTCATTGAACTCTTTTCAGATATAAAAACAAAACAAAGTCAGAAGCTGATGAAAAGCTCAGGTAAGTTTTTGCTTTATAAATTTCCCTGGCATGTACTGAAACCAGGCCACATGAGTGTAGATCCTGTAAATGCAATCTCTTGTTCACTGGGATTAGTTTCTGTTTGGTTTAAACTTACCTTGCCATTTTTACAATGCAGTGAAATACATCTCTTCACCTGTCTTTTGGGGTAGAGTTTGTGATTTCTAATGTTGCCCATGTAAATATCCAGCAGTTCTGGATATTTCTTCTTGCTACAGTAATCAGAATTCTAGTGACTCCTCCTTACGATCCTATTGTAAACAAAATGTACTGTGGTTAATTTGGTAGACCTGAAAATAGTAATCCTGTGGGCTTTTCCATTTATTATGCTGTCAGAGTATTACTTGTGTAGCCTTCTACAAAGATGTGTCACCCATGATTGGCTAAATGCATTTGATAGTTTGGTTTTAATCAGTTAAGAACTTGACTTTTAAAGATGAAATCTGAAAACTGCTGACATACAGGCATTCATGCAAAGAGGCTTTGTAAAGATGTTCTAATGCTCTTAAAGGGAGTCTTGAGAGTAATAAATACTGTATATAGAATTCTTTCCATACTGTATTGTCAAAACGCTCAATGCCTGGAGTTACGAAGAGAAAGAAGTAAAAGGATAATACAAAAACACTGTTATGTAACTAGTAAAGCACACAAAGAAACAATTGACAAGACAATATTAAACAAAAGGCTACTTAGGATAGTGAAATAATTCACATGTGTAGATGTCTGTGGGACTGAAGACTGATTCTGATAACTGCAGTAAGTTAATTCTCTGAACCTTTTAAAGATCCCTGGGTTTGCCTGCATGAAGCTGTGGATTTGAGCCTCAACATTCTTTACGTGACCTCTAATTCTCTTTGCCTAGCAACCTGATATTAATTAAATCTTGAGCTGTTGTCATTATAATGAGAAGCTTCTAGAATGCTGTCAGCATTATTTTAGGTGCTTATTCTTTGTTCTTGCATTAAATCAGTCTGCTGTAGTGTTCTCTTCTGATGTAAGTTATCAAACCTTCTTAAGGTGGAGGCTGCAACTTGATATAAGGTGAATTCCTGGACCATCTCTTTTCTTATTTGTGCTTGTATAACATTTATGTGTTTAGAGTAGTTGCTAGTATTGAAGGGTGATACTTGCTGAGAATTGAATAAAATTTGGTTTTACAACAGCAGAGAACAGCAGCTGAAAAAGATCGCTCAGTTCTCTGTAGATCACTTGAAATAGCTGATCTGACACCAATCAAAATTTGTGGAACAAGATACCATCTGTCTCTGCAGAAATAGAATTGGCCTGTTATTGAAATACCTTTTTCCCTCTCTCTTTTTTTCTTTTCTTTTTTTTTTTTTGTTTGTTTTTGTTCTAGGTCCTCTAACCCAACCTGAACTTGTACAACAAACTGATTTAGCTAGCACACTGGCAGTAGGTCTTGGTCTACCAATTTCACGAAACAGTGTTGGAAACCTTATATTACCAGTTCTGGGAGGCAAGACAATGAGAGAGCAGCTACGTTTTGTGCACTTGAATGCATTCCAGCTTAGTAGGCTGCTGCAAGAGAATACACCTGCATATGAAAAAGGTAAATCAACTTGAAGTTATGTGTATGTGTGTAAGACAGTTTGGGCGTTTAGGTTCAGGAGTATAGCATGGCACCGCAAATTAGCCATTCAGTTGAGAGGAGCGCTCAGAGAAATGATACTGAGTTCAGTATTTACTGTAACGTACTCTTGCACACTGACGAATAACTGTTTTTAATGATCAGTACTACGTGTGTTAGGCAGAAGAGCAGAAGTAATGATGAAAGAGTGAGGTTAAAGTAAAACTGCTAGTGTAGCTAAATCTCAGTGTCTTCATATCTGCTATTTGTGGGGTATCCTACACAGGGAACTGATTCTGAGCTATTTGGATAAATAGCACAATGGAGTGTGTTTTCTATTTTAAACAATAAGATACTTCAAGTAAAGCTGGGAAATAATTTAGGGTAAGTTATCTTTTTATGTCATTTTTCTGTATGAATTTACTTGGAGTGAGAACCTTGAACTGCAAAGTTGCTTATTAAAAATATGTGTGTGTGTGTGTTTGGAGTAAAGAATGAAGAAAGAAGTGGAAAAAGTAAACCAAATGTAGCAAAATGTAGTATTTTGTTAGGAAACATTATACAAAATGCAATTTAAGCAAGCAACTTAATATTATAATTCTGTGGAAAAAAAAATTGAGTCAGAGGATGAAGGAGAATATTTTACCATGGATGTTAGAAGGTGTTGTCTTACTGAAGTCCTTGTCACTTGATTTATAATCTGTTGAATCATTAAAATAACTGGATGAGAATGCAGAGCTGTGTTACAGCTATGAATAATTAAAGTGAATAACAATGTAAAGTTTAGCAAGAGGATTGTTGTAGGTCAAGAATTAATTATCTTTCAACATTATAGCTTCTAATCATAATTAAACCCTGTCCAGGAGTCTAATAAAACAGATGCCACTTAATGGTAGCAACATGTCAATAGACAGACCCATGCTTCATCTAGCCTTGTATTTTTTTCTGTACAGATTTCCTCACTAACCTGTTTGTGTCAAGTGAGGAAGCTTGCCCTCACTTGGTGGGTGGGGTTCAGGATATGGCTGTGTTACTGAAAATTCCAACACAAAGCTCTATTTGACAGTATTTCTGCAAGCACTGGTGAAACAGACTGGAGTTTCTACCAGCTTCTGGTTTATATTTTCACTTTCACTTTATTTTTGTCCAGGAACAGCTACATTTCAACTTGTAGATTTCATCTGAGAAAATAAATAAAAAATGCTGAGGATGTAAATACGACTATTTTGTATGCTACTTGCTTGTGACTGCAAACTGCTATTAGAGGTGCTACTCTGCTGGAAAGGGGCTCGGAGGCAAAGCGTCCATGATGAGCTTCTTTAAGTAATAGAGAGTCTCAGTAACATGGAACTAGATCCAAGTCATGGTAGCTTTTTTTTTTTAATGCGGTCTTAAGGTGAATTCTCCTGGTTGCTGTAAAATTCTTACAGGGTCTTGTTTTACTTAGTGACCTAGATGTGCGAGGCTGTAGCTTAATGCTTTGGTCAGGACAATTAAGATTGGAAGGGAAAAGAGATGTGCTGTTTGATTGATGTGGATACTTCGGCCCCTTGAAATACTAAAGAATGTCACTAACTCAGTGACCAATACTGCATGTACTTTCAAAGAATGCATGAATGGCCCTTTTTTTGGCTGGCTTCTAAGTGAAAATAAATACCAACCCGCCTATCCCGATACAGGCACATACGCATGTGTGCATATCTGTCATGATTCCATAGCAAAAGGATTGTCTTCCAAATAAGTCCAAAGTCAGTAATCAGATTCATCTTCAAGAAGGATGCCCATTTTTAAAAAGGGCAAAAAGGAGGACCCTGGGAACTACTGACATTCAGCCTCCCCGCTGTGTGTGGTAAGGTCATGGAACAGATTCTCCTGGAAGATGTGTCAAAACACATGAAAGACAGGCAGGTAATTACAGATGACCAACATGGCTTCACCAAGGGCAAATTGTACCTGACTAATCTAGTGGCTGTCTAGAATGGAGTAACTGCATCAGTGGACAGGAGACAAGCTACAGATGTCATCTACCTAGACTTCTGTAAGGCCTTTGATACAGCCTCCCGCAGCATTCTTGCTGCTGTATGGTCATGTCCAAAGAGTTATAATGAATGGCTTATACAAGTGGAAACTAGTAATAGGTAGTCTAGTGAAAGATGTCCTTGACATGGTGGCGGGGGTGGACTAGATGACCTTTAGAGGTACTTTCCCTTTCAACCCAAACAATTTTATAATCGTATGACTGTAAGTTGGGAATTGAGGAGAGAGAGTTGCCCTTTATGTGGGAGAGCAGTGGCAGTGCATGGATCTCTGGGAATGGATGATGAAACAGTTGAGAACTTCTGGGTCTGGATTAGTGGACAGACTAACAAGGGCAATATTGTTATGGGTGTTTGCTACAGACAGTCTGATTGGGAGGAATTAGTAGGTCTTCAGGCAACTTGAGGAAGGCCCATGTTCACCATCCATGGTGCTAATACGGTGCTTCAGCCATCCTGTTGCGGTTCAGGCTAGGTAACTGGACAGTGAGGTAGCTGAGAAGTGTGGCTCAGCTGCTTGGCTCACATGATTGCAGTCAACTGCACAGAGTCCAGCAGTGGTTGATACGGTAGGTGGGTCTGCTGCTGTTCAGAGGGACCTCGGCAGGCTGGAGAAATGGGCTGACAGGAACCTCTTAAAGCAAAGGGAAGTGCCAAATTCCACACCTAGGAAGAAATGATCCCATGCACCAGTGTTGGCTGGGTACTGACTAGCTGGAAAACAGCTTCATGGCAAAGGACAGAGGGACCTTGGAGGTGCCAAGATGAGCATCAGCCATCAATACACCCTTGTGGAAGGAAGTCCAACAGCATTCAAGGCATCAGTCTGAAACTCATCAGCAGGCCAGTCCTTCCTCTTTCTTCAGCTGGAGTGAGATGACATCTGTCTGGCATCTAGTTCTGGGCTCCCTAGTATAAGAAAGGCATGGGTATAATGTAGGAAGGGCAGTGCTTGAAGCTCCACTAAGGGCTTGATTATTTTGAAAATTACTTTTTCAAACATACTGAGTGGGACACATGCAGCTAAGAAAAAAATATAGAAAAGAGAATAATAACAGGTAATGAAAATGAAGAAGCTGAAAGGAGTGGTATGTAGAAACACACCTTGGGTTGCTGAGTGAGTTCATACCTCATTGTAAGGTGCAGCTGTAGGCATCCAGTAATGCTTCCCCTATGTTCTGAACTTCTGAACATATATATGAATGAAGAATTAAGATTGTTTCTTTGAACGGCACTTCACAGTGGAACGAGGAGTCATGCTTGAAGGCAAATTGGATATTATTATTAAAATGAGCGTACATTTTTTATTTTGAAACTGATCCTGAACTTGTATTAGATGCATGGGTTGATTGAAATAATTTGATTTTTACTGGAAGATTTGTATGTCAAAACTGGAGAAGTCACTTTTACATTATCCATTCTTTTCTTATAATTTTTAAAAAATGATTGCTGCCTGTGACTGAAACTGAGTGAAATTGTTATCAAACAGATGTTTGGGAAGCATATCCATTTGCTTGTGCTAACATTGTGGGGAGGCTGAAGCAGAAATTGCGGATCTAATGATACGCAAGTCAACCATTGCCAGTGCTTTGGGAAATCTGTAACACTGCAAGCTCACTTTGGGTTTTGCCTCAAGCGTAACCTGGCTTGTGAGTAGCTCATGCAGGTGTGACTTGCAGATGTGACCCACTAGTTACCAAAATGCTTCTCCAACTACCCAGAGTCTGTGACCCTTGTCACTTTATACTTACTGCGTGCACATGTGCCATTGAACAGGTATCACTGGAGTTCTCAAAGAAAATTTGGTCACTGTGTTCCTTTATTCCTTTCCGCAGGATCTTTAAATCATTTGCTTGATTTATATCAAAGACCTAAATGTGGGTTTGACTAAAACAGACATATTTCATGTTTTGTGGGTTTGGTGGGCAGTAGCATGGAAAGAGGTAGATAGAATGAAATAAAAATGGTAAAATAAATGAAGAGGGAGACTGGGTTAAAAAAAAAACCAAAACAACAAACAAACAAGAAGCCCCAAAAGACCAACAACATGAAAATGGAGTAGAACAGGAGCAGAAGTTGTGGAGAGAATTTATTTAGATTTCAAAATGTAACGTGAACTCATTTCAGTGTTTTATGAAATAGTGTCATGTCGAATCTCAGTTTGATTAAACCTCATTTTAGATGATCCTTTCTGGATTCCCTCACAAGTATTTGACTCTTATTTCAAGTATACCAGAAGAGGAGCATTCTAGGGAATTCACTGTTCAAAGTAACTGTGGTAGGGAAATGGAAGTCTCCATGCATACTGGCAGCTATCTTGATATACAGGTGTTGACTGGATTGTCCTTTCTAGCAGATACCTGGAATCCTCCTGAGTAGCAGGATGAGCATGCTTTGGAGTATGTTAGATGTCTTGGGAGGGCAGACTGGCCATTTTGAGTTAAACATTGCTTTCTAGAATTCTCACTCTTAATTCAGCCTGTAGTAGATCACAAAGTGTCGTGCAGTGGTAAGTCTTACAAATGGTAAGCACAATTCTTTCATAACTGTACAAGAATTTTGAATAGGAATACTTCATTCATTTCAAATAAATCCGGAAACATTTTTAATTTTAATAATGTACTTTTGCTGAAAAGGCTTAACAAAGAAAATTGTGTATTTTCCCAAGTCTGATACACTGTTGGTTTACCAGAAGTAAAAATGAGCTGCAACTTTGACACCAAACTTAGTTCAGACATTGCTTTAACCCTTGTTGGCTGAAACTGTACAGCAAATGTTTTGTCCTACTTTTAGCTAAGAAGGTGAGGATTACAAGATGGGAAGAAGATAGGCTTGTTATATGAATATTTCCAAAATGGCCTTTTTGTCCTTAAGTTGTCATTAACTTTCAAGTGAAATAGCAGGAAAATAACAAGGTTTATCAATGTGAAGTGGAACTAAATATTTATTTCATGCAAAAAATAACAGATATCTGTGAATGTTCACACATAACATCATGTCCAGTGAGATACAAATTCCTTTGTTATGTTTTTGCTTTTCTTGTGTTGTTGACTGAATTTATGTTTATGTACTCTGACTAGTATTTAAAATAGAATCATAGAATGGTTTGGATTGGAAGGGACCTTAACGATCACTTAGTTCCAATCCCCTGCCATGGGCAGGTGACACCTTCCACTAGACCAGGTTGCTCAAAGCATCATCCAGCCTGGCCTTGAACACTTCCAGTGATGGGGCATCCACAACATCTCTGGGCAACCTGTTCCAGTGCCTCATTACCCTCTCCGTGAAGAACTTCTTCCTGATTTCCAATCTAAACCTCCCCACTTTCACTTTAAACTTGTTACCCCTTGTCCTTTCACTACAGACCCTTGTAAAAAGTCCCCTCCCAGCTTCCTTGTAGGCCCCCTTCGGGTACTGGAAGGCTGCAATAAGGTCACCCTGGAGCCTCCTCTTCTCCAGGCTGAACAACCTGTCTCAGCCTGTCCCCATAGCAGAGGTGCTCCAGCCCTCTGATCATCTTCATGGCCTCCTCTGGACTCACTGCAACGGGTCTATATCCTTCTGATGTTGAGGGCTCCACAGCTGGATGCAGAACTCCAGGTTGTGTCTCACAAGAACAGAGTAGGGGGGGATAATCACCTCCCTCGCCCTGCTTGCTACACTTCTGATACAGCCCAGGATACGGTTGTATCATGTGGCATGTTGGCATATGGGGTGATGTACCTATAAAATGAAGAGGGAAAAACATCTCTTAAGTGCTTTCAGGGGCACCACCATTTTCCACATTTACAATAAAGCACAGACACTGACCTAATTGTTCTATTTTAAATAAATGGTCTTGAAATTAAACTTAATGAAGTGAATAGAATGCTCTTCAGGTGCATATAGGACCCAAAATAACAGTTTTGTATTATGCTTGTAGTGAGAGTTGACGTTGTTTTACATGTGTCAACAAAATGACTGTCTTCTGTTTTCACCTGCTGAATCTGGGTATTGTCACTACTGAATATATCTTTCTGGGAAGAAAAAGGCTATCAGGACTCAGCTTTTTGTGTAAATGTTTAGTAATGGCAAAGTTGATGAAAATCAGTGGTAGTTGATTGAGGAAAAAAAATAGTAGGAGTACTTTCATCTGTCCTTTAAACTGACTTGTGTCATTGTTTCTCCACATCTGCCCTTTGGCATGTATGAACCAGGTCAGTTGGTGTAAAGTAAGAATTCTGTGGAATGACTAGTGAGGCGAAGTACATGTCAGAGAAAATCTACTACTGCTGTACTTGCAAAGGACTTGCAAACAGCCAAAACATACATTTTACTTCTTTCCTATGTCTCCTGTTATCCTCACTTACTCTATTCTCCCTAAATTTATTTTAAAAGACTAATGCAGACATGTTTCTACAGTAAAAGAGAAAAAGAAAAGTAACTGTTATGTCTCTGTACCTATGTTAGAAGGCATACACAGATGAAAACCTGAACCCACAGAATTCAGTTGTCGATTTTAAAATGACTTCCTTCAGGGACATAGTCTGCAGCTAGTGCTGTCCTCACCCCCAGTTCTGAAAGCAGGCCACAGTCATCATATCTGTTATCAGTGTTCACCTACAGTCCCATTTACACAGATTTATCAGAAAACATAATTAAAACATTTCTGCAAGAAAATACTACCTCAGTATAGACAACAGATACATGTCCTGAAGGTTGTGGGTTTTTTTCCCCTGAGTTTTACTTATTATTTGTTTGGTTTTGGTTTGGTATTTTTTGTTTATTTTTCTTCAGGTCAGAATTAACCTTCTCTCACAAGAGTCTTGCTTCCATAGGTGGGCGGCAGCATCAGGTTTTCTCTTTTTTTAATCAAGTTAGACTGTGGACTCTCCTTATGCTATAGCAGAATTACCAAGTTTCACTGCTGAGGATTACTTTGCATGAGTTTCATAGTCCAAATGCCTGAAGCCAAACCGTGCACTTCAGCTGTTAACTTTTCTGTTACTGCTTCAAAATATCTCATCCTGTGTGCTTAACTTAGTGTTACCAACTGGCTGTCATTAGCTTTGCAGCAAAATTGAGGTCCCTGCTATGGTGTGTGTGTTCTTTGATGTTTCCTCTAGAGACCAGCTGTTTGATCATTTCCCACTTGGTTTATACAGTATGGCCTCGTTAATGAGTGGCTACAGTGGAAAAACATGAGTGTTTTCAGGATTTAAAGCATTTGAATAAATTTGTCCTGGAAACCTTTTGTAAGAGTAAATTGATGTTTTAATACATTTGTCACTTTTAGAGGTCTTGACATTTTATCAGGTTAGGGATTAACTGCCTTTATTTCTGAGTAACTGGCTCATTATGGTCTTGCTGCAGGAAGATAATGAAAAACGATGTGAAGAAAAGTTTTAAACCCCATAATTTTTTAAATATTATACAAGCAAATATAGAAGTATGATCACTTCTCTAATTAATCATCTTTTGTTCATGGATCCTCTTTTTTTTTTCCCCCCTTCCCTCCTCCTTAGATCCTGGATATGAACATTTTAAGGTAGCAGAAAAGTCCCATGGTAATTGGATCAAACTGTATTTAGAGGGAAATAATTCAGAAATACTCTTAAATCTTGGCAAAAAGGTCCTGAAGCAATATTTGGAGGCCCTAAAGACTCTGAGTTCTTCACTAAGCAAACAAGTGGCACAATATGACATGTATTCGATGATGATGGGGACTGTGATCACTGTGGAGGTAGGAAAATACATCTTTCTGTGAATAAGTTAAGTGTACAAACATAAAAATTCATTTTTTGACTACTCACTGTATACTTTGGAATTACCAAGTATGAACTCTTAGAGCTGGCTGATGTTCCGCTTCAATGAGGCTAATATTAAAGTATAACTTGGCCTTTAAAATTACTCGAGAGCTTTTGATATAAGCTACTTATGTTTTGGTGTAACTCTCTACAGTAAATATGCAGATATGCTACAACTTAAATTACTCCCATATTAGCTTTTTTTTTTTTAAATGCAGTAAGGCTACTCAAAAAGTAAGTTCCTGTAGCTGCTCAGAACAGGCAATAATTTGTGTGGGAAACACTCACAATTCCAAGAGTTGTTCTCTGTGGTGATAGCTGTAGAGCCCTGAAATAAATACTCTAAGGTGCTCAGTTGTCATTTCATCTCTCATGTAGGAATAAAGATAAGATCTCCCATGTCTGGAATTTTAAGTGATTCTCTGCAACTGCTATTTTGGGCAAATCTTAAATGCTGGAAATACCCTCTGTGGTAATGCTTTGAGACCATACTGAGCTTTTTCGTACAGAAGCTTGCACTGACCTTTTAAATGACATGAGTGTCACCTTTTACAAGAAGTTGTTGTTCCCTGGGATGGAAATACATGCTGCAGGCTTAATTTAGTCCTCACATGTGTGCGGTGCCTGATTGGTGTCACACTGGTCATACTTAGTGCCTGCAATGGGTAACAGTAAGTGTGCAGCCGTTTGGTACTTGAGTCTCTTTTGTCCTGGCCTCATCTTGAATGCACTGTTCTCTGTGTGCTGAGTACATCGGGAATGGCTTTCTGGTAGACTGCCTAGTGGGGTTTATCGCTGCTGACACTTTACAGGAATTAGCTCCACAGTGCCCATGGGAGATGCTCTTTTCTTCCGTTGTTTTGGGAGCCTATGCATTCAAGCTCTTGACAGTTACTTTGGACCTGAAGCATTGGATTTCTTTTTCTTTTTTTTTTTTCCTGGAATGCAGTTTTAGGTGCTTACTGTTTCTACAGAACAAATATCTGATTATCTTGCTCAATGGGCCTTGATCAAAAGAAGCATGCAGCTACTAACCATGAAAATCTTGGTTGAAAAGAGCTTCCTCAGCATCACTGTCAGAGTTGGTGCAAAACTGCTGAAGTTTTTTTCTTTTCTCCAGTGAAGTACTCAAGAAACTCTTGCTGTTGTGGTTTAACCCCAGCCAGCAAGCAAGCAACACAAAGCTGCTCGCTCACCTCTCCCTTCCCCAGTCGGATGGGGAGGAGAATAGGGGAAAAGACAAACCAGCACATGTGCTTTCCAAAATCTTTTTGTCTTGATACTTATTATCCACCCTCACTGAATAAATAAGGTTAGGGAATCTGTCAGGTGACTTCAAACTGCACCATGCTACATATGCCATTTATCCTGTATTTCAGATGAGGAGAATACCTCTGGGACATGAATTGATAACAGTGCATTTGCTCAAAAGACCTAAATTTAGATTTGTAGATAAGTACAGTTCTCTAGCATTTTCCTATCATGAGTGCTGTCTTTGTTTCAATGATAAGTGCTGTGTTAAAGGGTGAGACCTAAGCCAATTTGGCACTGTGAAACCTCATACTTTCATAACAAAATGAACTGTGTGGAGTAGAATATGAAGAAGAAGGAAGACTATGACAGTCCATAGGATTTTTGGTCTGCTTTGCTATACCTCACTACATTGTGAGAAAAATTTTAGGCAGAGTTCTTCACAAATGACAGTGAAGGATTACAGGTTGGCATTGGTCTGATAGAGTTATTTTTAATTTGATTTGTTTTAATCTTGCCCTAGCGCAAGCTGATTGAGCTTAGTCTAGTCCTAGCTTGATCTGTGCCCCTTGCAAAGCATTTTAGCAGGTGGCTGAACTTTGCCTTTACTTGCAAAGGTTTGTACATGGGTAGCAGAAATTATTCATTATATTATTCATCTCCACTACTACAGTTAACCTGAGAGGAAACTTGGAATTCTGCCTGATCTTTGCGCACCTTAGAGCAAAGGAAAGTAAAACCAATAAATCAAATTAAGATGAGGAGAGTTACAAAAGGTAAATACCGTGAGAATTTATAAACTGGAAATGCAGCATACTCTTGTGTGCTAGTACTACAGCTTTCCCTGGTCAGGGAAGCTATTTAACTCCGGAGGATCGCTGTCTATGTGTATCTGACACATTGTGAGATAAAGGGCCTTAGGCAGAGTGTGTATGTAACTTCAGGCATTTACAGGTTACAAATAATAATGGGTCAAATTAGTTCACTTAGGAACTGTTTTGATATTGGGAGATAAAGTTCTTACTTTTGCAAGGATTGAAGATCATGCACATGATCTGTCACAGGTGAGGAGGTGCATGGTAATTTATTAAACTCTGGTAACTTGTGTGTCCAAACCCTTAATAAATGAAAACACAATCTTTGATTCTGTCATTTATATGGTACTGTCTTTCTGGGGACAAAAACCCCAGCATAGTTCTTCACTGATTTTTTTGACAAAGTATGTATGCTTGCAGAGTGACATGGATAGCAACGGTATGATTTTTTTTTTTTTAAAGTGTGAATTCTCACTGTATGTTTTAGCTAACCCCAATTCTTTAAGTATTCATTCTCTATTTTTTTCATAGGTTCTTCTGCTGCTATTGCTCAGTGTTCCAAAAGCTCTGAGCAGCCGGGCAGAATTTGAAGTTCCCCTCTCCCCTCCACTTTTCTCTCTGCTCTTTTACTTGATGTGTCTGATGCTGTGTGCGGTTCATGTCATTGTGTGCACATCAGCAGAAAGCTTGTGCTATTTCTGCAGTATGTCGTGGTTAACAGCAGTTGGAGTGATGATGCTGATTTCCGCACTCATGTGTGGTATTTTATCTGCCATTGCGAAGATCTTTGAGAATTCCAGACTTCCGCTGAAGGTGAGACCACGCGTTAATTATAGTTCAAAATGTTTTGCTCTTTATGGTGTACTTTCAGACAAAGTTTTACAAAAGTTTTGTCAGTGTGTATTTATATAAATTGTAATGTAATTTGAATAATTTAAAAGTGTAATTGAAATGTGGTATGTTCACTGAGACATCATACCAGTTGCTATAATGAAAATCATACGAGTGCCTATTTTCATGTTACTTTATGAAATGTTCTATCTAATATAAATTATTTTGCAGCTGATTTTGAGATCAGAAACAGTTACGCTGTGTACAAATCTTATGCTGTCACACAGTGATGCTTCATAATTGAAATTAAGCAAAACGTATGGTATTTTGCAACAACATGGCACCAGTGATGATCTGTCCTTTCCCAAATACCACAGACATTAATGCTCTAAGAGTAATAAGAAAATATTTTTCTAGTACCCTTTCTTACATTGGTATTCTTAATGCTTTTTTTAAAAGTAGTTTTGAAACTGTAACAGGGGGAGCAAAGTTAATCTGTCTCTTGTACTTTTTAAGTTAAACTTCTAAAGATTTTTATGACATTTTGACTTTTTTGCAGTCTTTGGAATGCTCAGAAATATTCTTAGTTGTGCAAGTAGTTATCTTCTGTAAAGTACTTGATGAGTTTTATTGTTATATTGAATAGAATTCAGGTAATTCCAAGGAAATAGAATTATCAATGTCTTGCCCTTCTTTCACTGCGAAACATAGTATGCCAATAAGTGTCAGTCACACTGTAAAATCAGCCTCTAGCTGTTTTTTCTTATCCATCTTAGTCATATCTTCCAAAGGTCTCTGAAGCTCAAGTCACTTGAATGCTCATAGCGCTCTGTTCAGTGGTGCCACCTCTGTGCAGTATAGTCCTTTGTTGGTCTGGATTTCTTTGAATTGTGTTTGGGGTTTTAGTACCTTCATTTAGTGTGTGACAATATGTGGCAAATACATTGCCTTAATGATACGATGACATACTCCTTCAAGCTAAAAAGCAAACTTTCTGACTTAGAGAAACATTTAATAACTGCTATATTTCATATAATTCAGAAGATTCACTACTCCTGACTGGAGAGTAATATTGCACTCTGTGCAGCTATATGCTGTAATTCCTGAGCTTAATTACAAATTGAAATCTTAAGTAAGACTGCTGATTTTTATTATCCAAACTTGTGCTGGTTTTAGTTGGGATAGAGTTAATTTTCTTCATAGCACCTTGTAGAAGGCTGTGTTTTGGATTTGTGCTGAGAAGAATATTGATAATGCTAATGATTTTGGTTGTTGCTGAGGAATGTTGATATCGAGTCAAGGACTTTTTCAGTTTCTTGTGCTGCCCCTGTGTTCTCAGCTTCTTCTCTGCAAGAAGCTGTGATGGGACACAGCCAGGACAGTTGACCCAGTCTGACCAAAAGGACATTTCATTCCATAAAACATCATGTTCAGTATATATATTGGAGTGAGCTGCTGGTCACATTGCTGCGTGCTCTCTTGTTGAGTCTTGATCTGCTGTGATCTCACTCTCGGGCCTGCTCTGGCTTTTGCTATTTGGGAGCTGGCTGGACATCAGTCAGCAGGTGGTGAGTGGTTGTATAATTTGTTTTATTTTCCATTATTTTCATTACATAGTAATATTTAAATTGCATTTATTAGTAGTAATATTAGTATGATTAGTGTTGTTAGTATTATTAGTATAATTTTATTTTCAGTTATTGAATTGTTCTTATCTCAACCCATGAGTTTCCTTGTGTTTTCCTCTGATTCTCCTCCTCTAGTGGAAGAGGAGGGCAGGTGAGCAAGTGGTTGTGTGGTACATAGTTGCTGTCTGGGATTAAACCCTGACAAAACCCCTGTGCCAATTTATAGTTTTGTTACGATAATTTCTGGATTTGTGTTATTCCTTCTTGGAAATGCTGCTTTTCTTAGACAATCCTTGAACTAGAAGTAATGCTCTTCTCTCCTGAAGGCAGCTTTTTTTCCCCCCCCCCCCTTCCTATTTTCTTCAGTGCAGTTCATGTCGATGTATTGGAAGTGATTAAAAGGAGTGTTGTTGATAGACGTTTGTGTTTCATTCTTATGTTTATGTTTATTGGCCACATAAGATTTAGGTGTGTCTGTCGATCATTTAGCTAGACTAAGACAGAGTCACCTAGCAATGTCTGCTTAATGAAATCAGGGAAAGAAGTTTCATCTCATGTATAGCTTCTAACGACAATCTCTGTAAGAGATTCTCAAATCACAGTTTGCTTTTGGTAATGAAAATTTTTGTGTCAAAGCACTGTTAATGTTTTGCTACCAAAACTAGTGAGGCTTGTATGTGTCTTTTTTAAAAAAAAAAGACAAATAAAAGAAGAAAATAAAATAAATCCATGTGAATGAAGAAATCTGCTGAGTGAGATGTCTAGTTGTACAGTTTGTTTATACTCTTGGTACTTAGAGGCATGTTGATCTTTAAATGGACTTGGTTCACTTCTGTTATTTCTGAGTTGTTCTTCTAGGGCCTTTGTTAACTTTCCGTATGTTGTTGTAAATGAGGTAGAAATTATTCTTAAAAGTAAAAGAACGTGGTCTTGAAATAATAATTAGTGATCCAGTGCATTCTGTACAAACTTAACATTTACTTGCTGTGCAGTGATAAGCAGCTATGAAAAAGAAGCTCATTTTTCATCTTGTTACCAGTTTTTCTAATTTTAGCAAACAGTGAGAACCTAGAAATGATGACAGTCCAGACCTGTGTAAAATTTACAGATGTTCCACTTCAATAATGTTGAGAGTAATGACAACAGGTTGTAGCTTTGTCCTCCAGACTGATAGTCTCAGAGCAATTCAGTCTGTCTGTGTCTGTCTAAAATCTTTCTTATATGGCTAGAGATGAGTTAATTCCTTGTGATACCTGCTGTAGGAGGGACTTTAAAGTAACTTTATATGACCCAGGAAAAATGCTTTCCTACTAGTTCAAAGACTGGTGTCTAGGAAGATGGTGGTATTCCTTGCCTATGGCTAAATTTAGAATAGGCTGTTACTAAGTATTGGTTGATAGGTATGAGCTCTGCCTTTTTGGTTTGGCCTGAGCCTTAGGGATTCATTCCCATCTGTTCTTGGCACATTTTCATCCTTGTTGGTGAGGAGCAACTGCTGGTGTGAACAACTTCCTGCAGGTAGCTTACGCATTGCTAATACAGCTGCTGTGTCAGTGATCACAGCAGCCAGCAATTGCAAAATGTCTCCTGGGATTCAAAACTTGAGTTGCGTGGAAAGACATTTCTTATGAAAGGAATTAAGTGCTAGCTCCCTGATAGAGCCAAATAATTCCTCAAGAAACACATAAAAAGAAGCAACCATATAATCGCTGTTCCACTTTTAGAAGGAATCTTTCTGAGGAACTCTAGAGGAGGAAGTGCTATTTCCATACCTGTAATCTGTTGGCCGTTTCTGATTATTCCACCTAGCCAGCTATGCTTAGGGAACTTGTCTTCCCTCCGACTGTGCATCTGCCTTCGATGGCAAATTGAGCAAAACCAGACAAACTGATTATAAATTATATCCAAGATGCTGTATCCAGTTTGATACCTTTGCCTTCAGCACCCCACATTCTGCATACGAGAGATGACTGCAGCTGGACCATTCTTCCTGGTTGATGTTGGGACTTTAGATCCTATCCCTTCGTGCTTGAAGAAGGATATTTCAGCAACAGCTTGTCTCCCTTTTCCTCTTTGGTACCAATTAGGAGACCATCTGGAATTCAGGAAGGGAAAAAACACAAACTTTTATTTACGAGTGAAATTTGGAGTCACTGGCAATTACACTCCTGTCATTTTAGGACAGAGATCAGTTAGTGTTTCTTGAATGTGAAGATGCTTATTTTTGTGTCACCTTTGAAAATATCTCCATTTGGCTGTAATGGAACAGTTATAAATTCAAGCATTTCCTGTTTGTACCAGAAAGGTGGGGGAATATCTGAAACTGGTGCATACATATTTTCTGGAGTTTTACATAGGTGGGACCTCAGGATGTAACAGCAAATGATCAGATAATCTGCTTCAAGTTGATACTACATGAATGAGGAAGTTTTCAGCTGTGTTTTCCAGAAGGTTTGTGTGTGGAAGAGGGGTTCCAAGGCTGGGGCAGATAGAAATAAAAAAATACTGTGTTCTCCATCCCAGGTCTGTCTGTGGCCGTATTCCTAACTGAGACATACATGAAGATGTGGGAAGCTGAAGTATCCCCTGGCAGTGTCAAAGAGGATGCCAGAGACGGCATTGCACTAAAACCTCTGGGAGGGCAGACCCCCTGCTTTTCCTTCTGCAGCTGCCATCCTGCCTCCTCCTGACCTTGTAAAGGGTAGCTGTGGCCATTCTGTCAGCCACTGCTCTTGCAAGCACAGGCATCCACTCCAGAGCAAGGCCTGTGTCCCTGGGCAACTAAACTAAGGAAGTCGCTAGTACAGGTTATTTTTGAGCTGACTAATACTGTTTGTTTGGGTTCCCCCATCCCGTCTCCAGAGGTTGAATGCACTGAAGTAAAGACTTACACAAGAGTTACTGCAGTAGAATCATAGAATCATGGAATGGTTTGGGTTGGAAGGGCCCTTAAAAGACCATCTAGTCCCAAACCCCCTGCCATGGGCGGCAGGGACACCTTCCACTAGGTCAGGTTGCTAAAAGCCTCATCCAGCCTGGCCTTGAAGACATCCAGGTATGGGGCATCCACAGCTTCTCTGGGCTGTAGTGGAGAGCATTTCCAGGGTGTTGATTGTTTCCCAGCCCTGCTCCCTCTGAAGTCATGAGAGCGATGTAGGGTGCCACAGCACACAACTGCAAAGCCTTCTCCTGCTTCAGAGAGTACGCTGGCCTCCATGGAGGAGGGGAAGCAAAACTCTGAGAGACCACTCCCTGAAGCCAAGCCAGAGAAGGTCAGAAGTGTGGCCAATAGTAATTCCTGTTGAGGCAGACATGACTTTGTATCTAGACCTGTAGAAATCAATTTTTGTCATC